TTTATGTAAAAATAATCAGAAATTACCTATGATTAATTAGTATTTCAGCATTTTCATGTATATGTATCAAAAATGGAACCATTAAATATATTCTACTTGTGATGCTTTGTGGAACTATTTCCGTGCACAGCTTTAATTTTCACTGTGAACATTTCTCAGTTTGCAGTTGTAAATTTCTATGCATATAGGAAATCCCCGATCGAGGTAAATAACATTACAAACTGAAATATTTGTAAATAATAAACATACGAAGTATAGGCAGCAGTGATGACAAGACGGTTGAGATTGAGCTAACACCAAATACAGGAAAAACAGCCTATTCGATGGGCTGTTTCCTTCTGTATTTGTTGCTAGTTTGACTCTAGGTCAGTCCAAACTATTCCTATGTATCCTCTCATTCCTTACTTTCTATCCTTCTGCATTGAGGGTTTAAACAATTCTATAGTGGGAATGAAAACAAAGTTCTCTTAGTGTTCATGACAGAAATAGTTAAATTAATTGTATGTGTAGGGTGTTGTGTGCATTTATAATCTGCGCATGATTATTATTTTTAGATAGATCTACATTCTATATTTTCAAGCTTTAACATGTTTAGAATTGCAGAGATATATAAAACATTTCAACGAAGACACTAGAAAATACTGCAGTGCCACAGTATTTAACAAGTGGAGAGATGAAAAAGAAGGAATGAAAGAAGACACCACTGGAGTTATCATGTATAATCCCTTTTGGAGGAAAAGAGAAAAGGAGAAATATGCTAAAAGAGTGCAATAAGAAGAGCATGTAAAGAATTTAAATAAATGAAAAGCAGATGCATACCTATCAGTAAACAATGTCAAAGTCAAAAACTGAACTCCTTTGTTAAGTTTTTCTGGTGAAGAGACCTACTTAAGATCACTACTACTGCTAGAATTACAACATTCAATGCAAAAACTTAAAGGCAACTCTGAAAGTGCATTTCATTCCACAATCCTCTTACATATTAAGACGTAATAAATTCTATCATACAGATTAGCACACGAGACAGGCCACTTCGTTATTTGTAGCCGAATTAAAAAAGCTATCATGATATTGTTAATTTATTATAATATCATAGCTGAAAGACAATTTCCTGTGGATCAATGGTATAATTTAAAAGATTTTTAGTACTTCATAGAATCTCCTCTTGTCTAGCGATATGTGCAGCAATACGATTCAGCAAGTATCTACTGCTACTTCTTTTCCGAACAGCCGGTAAGACACACTACTCAAAATTAAACAATAAAACTGAGGTTTAAAATCGCGTAATCACTTAAAATCTTCAGAATTTCTATCATTTGTAGACTGGTTGGTAACTCAGTGGAGGTGCACCAATTCTGTAATCAGGAAGATGATGTTTTGACAGGATAATAAAACAATAAAATTGACCAACTTCAAGTAAAAGGTCAAAGTCGAAAGCAATTAAGAAATGTTATCTAATAATAATTATTTAAAAACATAATATTTTCTGTATATTTATGTATATACAGTACATTTGGTCCATTTCTACAAAATATTTGCATACTGAGTATGGTATTATTGTAGTGATTTGTTTGAAGTCTGGAAAATGACCAAGCAATTTGTATGTAGAGTTTCTGAAAAAAACTATACAATTTTACCTAAAATAATGAATTCCTCTTCCCCCGAGTGTGGTCTTGCCGAAGAACTGTATCAGGAGGTTGCCTGTATCTGTGTTATATATATATACGTGCTGCTAAATTTATATTTATATGTTCTATTATTTATTGTATGTGTTTGGCTTCAAGGAATGCTAAAGTTAAAATTCAAAAAGAATGTTAAAAGATAAAGTTTAAAAATAAAATGTGAAGAAAACAAGAACTTCGAATGCCATGATGGATAAGGGAATTTGAATGCTGTGAGGTTAAAGAAGAGAATTCGTTCTTTCGGAGGATTAAATAAAAAATGTGTCGAATTCGTCTTGTTTAAAGATTTTTGTTAAAAAAGAGACCAGTAGCAATATTGTATTCGCTAAAACAACTATAGAATTGTTTACAATTAATAAATAAGCACCAAAGAAATTTAATCTTAAGAAAATGCAATAAAATTACATTCAAAATACATCATGAATTAAGTGTTCTAATACAGTAATACCTCGACTTACGCAAACCCGGAGTTACGCGATTTTCAAATCTCGTCGATTCCTCCTTTGTTTGAGCGCCATGCAACTCTCGATTACTCACTCCCCTCACACTATTGTTTGGCTTACATGTTCGAACTTGTCACGCGGAATCGACACATAGCTACAATTTATTTTGTGTTATTTATTTCTGTGTTTGTTATATCTACGGAGACTCGAGAGACTCTATGTGGTGATTTCTTGTAACAAGAAACGAATCAAAAGACGAGATAAGATTAACGGAAACATTTATTAGCTTACATACATCCGACTTGGATTTTACACAAATTGCAAAATTATACCCCGACTTACGCGGTTATCGCTTGGTCCCACCTATCGCATAAGTCCGGGGTATCACTGTATTTCCAAATATGATATGCATGGTTTTCCTCCAAGTTAGTTAAAGACAGAGAAGTGTTTTTAAATGTTAATCAAGTTTGTTTTTCCAGTGACATATGCAAATCTTCTTGTTATTGTAAAAATACTGCATTTATTCTATGCACACATTGCAGAAATGTTTATTGCATCACACGCTTCTATGACAATTATCATCCATAAAGTTTTGTTCTCAAAAAGCAAACAATTTACATAATAACAAACTGGTCTTGAATAATAATTTGAACTGAAGAGCTTTAAGAATTGCTTGTATCTCGATAATGAAAGCAGTTTTGACTGAATTGCGCAGTCGATAAAAGATTTAAGTTGTAGAAGCGTAGAAGCTGTCGTTAAAATGACACCATTCTGGGCATATTTCCAACCTATGTTATAATTTGTATTACTGTATTATGGGTTTCCTTTAAAAACTGCACTGTTCATCATACTTTAATAAATTATTCTTGCTGAAAGTCTGGTTAAAATTTGAGTTATTTATCAATTCAAACTATTTCTTTACAAATTCTGTAAACAAAAAATTGCATGCGCTATTACTCTTTTCTGAAGCCATAAATTTAATGCGCAACTTAAATGACTGTTAATAATACAGGGTCTTCCAAAAATGAATGTTATATTTTAAATCACTGTGATTATGTTAATTATTTCCTCTTACTAATAACGATAGATTGCGCTTCGCACCAATTAAAGGTTTTATGAGCAGCGTTTTGTATAATTATTACCTCTGTCGTGAAATTATTTCCTGATGATATTTGAAGGGACAATGAAAGCAGATACTTTTACAGTTCATCCAATGAAAATTTCATTTTTATTAAACGTTTAATTATTACCTGAAAGCAATTTAATATATTTCAAAACAGAAAACTTTGCAAGTTTCATATCTTTTCATTACAATCCCTCAAAATGTCCACCTCGTGTCATACAACACACACTCAGTCAATAATCAATTTATTTTCAGATTCACTGCTACGTATATATTGTTACATCTCCCGAAGCAGCCATAATTCAATGTTGCAGTTCCTGCAAATTCTGTAAAATGATGGTATGTAGACAGTGTCTTTTGCATAAACCCACAATAAGAAATTTTAAGGTGTCAGATCTAAGGACATGGGTAGCCAGCAAAATAACGAATTGTCATTGAGCCAGTGGCATTCAATCAATCATATAGTGACAGTAAACATAAATAGGTTTGAATGCACGTAATCAATGAAACTTTTAGTTTTCTCAAAGTATGCTGTTACATACTATTGGTTACTAGAATGAAACTGCATGGCAGAAAGACTTACAAATACTAGTCACAATGCAATAAAACACATGTATTGTCCCAAAGGAATCAACCTTCAAGATATATTAGAAAAAAATCAATAAGATAATTAACGCTGTCTCCAACAGAAACATTATTCTTGCCAGGAATATTAACCTGCACTCTCCAACTTGGGGAAGTGACAAACTCAACAAAAGAGGAGAACATTCGAGTAGTTCCGCAGTTCCAAACACATCATCATCATCATCTTGAACAACTGTTATTCACCTCATAGACATCTCAGCCAGCTTTTCTAATATATACGAACACATACACAACTGGAAGGTTGAAGATGACACTACACTCAGTGACCATAAGTACTCATCTTTTGAAATCAACATCCATAACCCCAACATTCTAGAGAAACCAAGATATTGCAGTGACCAGGCAGACTGGAAAAGATGGAGAACATACATTACAGATAAAATTGGCATAACTCCCTTACATTCAAGGGAAGAGGCTAAGAGAAGGATTGAATGAAATCTCAGAAGTATTAAGGGCATGTGTGAGATTGCTATACCAAAATACAGAGCCAAGAAAAAACCAGTCCCTGGTGGAACAATACTCTGTCTGAACTATGACTCAGAAATAATACCCTCAGAAAAAAGATCTCAATGAAAACAAAGATCTCAACATTCATAGTGAAATCAGAGACGGAATAAACAAAGATAGTAACACCCCCGACACACCCCCTTTCACATGTGAGAAGTTGGCAAAGTAATCACTAACCTGAACAACAGAAAGATCCCTAGCTCAACGGAATAACCCCAGAGATAATCAAACAAATTTGGAAAATAAACCCAATACTTCTTTACCTCTTCAACACTTGCTTACAATTCGGCATCTTCCCTAGAGAATGAAAGAGAGCGAAAATGGTACTTGTGCCTAAAGTAAACAAACCTAGAGATTATAGACCAATTTCCCTTTTACCTACCCTAGGGAAAGTAATGGAAAAACTGCTTACAAACTAACTCTCTTGGCACCTTGAGTCAAATAACCTACTGAGTGACAATCAGTATGATTTTAGAAAGCAAAGGTCAACTGTTTATGCTATCACAGTGGCTATCACAACATCATCAAAGGACTACTTGACAGAAATGTTTTGGGACTTAGTATAGACATCCAGAGGGCATTTGACAGTGTGTGGTGACAAATGATTCTCTATAGACTCATGCAACTACAATTCCCCACAAATATCTACCTACTGACCAAGAATACCTTCATCAGAGAATTATTGCCATCAAAACAGGAAATATTACTTTTGAGAAGAGGTATAACAGGCTGTCCACAGGGTTCGGTCTGTGGATTACTTCTATGGTACATCCTTTTCAATGATTTTTTGACCCAAGATTTCGGGCAGGACAAAGTCATTGTGTTTGCAGATGACACACTCATGCTGTCAACGGCTAACTCGAAAGGAAAGTAAAGTAGGCTATGTCAAAAATAAGTGAAAGGGGAAGGAAAACAAGCTGATCTTCAATCCAGGAAAAACACAGGAATTGTCTGGAACAAGCTAGGTGCTCAACACTTGTACAAGAGAGTACAGACAATTCAGATGGTATCGGAAAGTATAAAAATAGAGAAAAACATTAAATATTTAGGGATTACACTTGACTTTAAGCTACTTTGGACCACACATATTGAGAACATTTGTAAGAAAACAGGTTTAATCTTTCAATCTTTCTTTAAGGTTGGTAAAAGCAACTGGAGGCTTGAACTCTCATGCTATGGACTCAATCTATAATGACATTTATACCAATAATTACCTATGCCTGTCTGGTTTGGGAATAAGCCATGCACAAAATATATAATAAAAAGAAACTAATTTCAGGCCAAAGGAAAGCATTATTGAATCTCATTAAAGGTTACAGAATAACTCCTACTAACAGCCTCCAGATAATTGCTAGAAAAGCCTCCATGGATCTCTAAATCAAATACCATACATTAAAATGGAAACTGAAACACGATAAAGGATGACAAACTTAAAAATGATGATTTCAAATGAAAGATCCCTTATGCACTTATCCAGAACCCAAGTAAAACAAAATATTTTTACTCTGAACCATTGACGGACAATCATATAGACATGTACACAGATGGGTCTATAATCAACAATAAAGTTGGTGCCAGTTATGTAATATATCATATATATACAGAAATTAAGAGCAACTTCTCAAATTAGATGATACATGCAGTGTTACACAAGCAGAACTGCTGGCAATTGCCACTGAAGTGGAAGACTGTATTGCTAAATATCCATATCATACATCAAAAGTATCTACAATTAGCTCAAATTCGATCACAATATAATCCAATTTATAATGAACCATGACTGCTTCCAAAGCTACTTACAAATGTTCAAAATTGTGGTGATAAGTGCTCTATTTGGGATGGAAGTGACCGCTACCTGTTCAACTGCCCTACACTCAAAAAAAGAAAGGACTAAAGGCAAATTTTAGGCTACAAACATATTGTAGACTAAAATTGGCCATGTAATAAAAACCTTCTCCTGCAAGACGTAGAAATCTACAGGTCTTTCAAAACTTTTATAGACTTATATTTCAAATGGACCATAGTACAAAAATTATATTGAACATTGTTGGTTTTCTGGGAAACTACCCAACCCTTTATTGTGATAAGTCCCACGCGTTGCAAGTAGTGACAGAGTCCACATACCATTTATTTACTGTTATGTGCATTTAACATCTTTATACAATGATGACAGTATTTAGTTTGCCAACCAGTTGTGCCAAGTGGTAATGGATATGTACACATCACTGTACCTGATTAATAAAAAGAACATTACTAGAATGATAGTATGCAATGTGTGTTTCTACCACCCAACGTAATGACTAGTGAATGAATAGCCAAACCTGTATGATTTAGTAATGTTATTTCATCATAATATGTATTAGTACTTGTGTCATAATCAGTTCTTGGATTTAGTGTTGTATCGTCCAAAATTAAAACACATTACTTTTCTTTATCGGTTTCAATAAAGTCGACTTTTATTTTATAAAATTTATAACTTTGTACAATAATCTAGTTTCATATTTTAAATTTCCAGTCATTTTAATAATTTCTAAATTTCTCTATTCTATTGTTAAGTAATCTTATATGAACATTAATTAATTTAAAGTATAATTTAAAAATTATTTTATCCTTATCTTTGCATTTCTCAGAACTGAAATCTTCACTAGATATTGTAGAATTGTTGTGTTGAAAATCGTTGTTGTTGTTTTGTAATTTTATGTTTGTTCATCAGAACTTGCATCTTCTTTTAAAGGTTTACAGGTATTTGGAGGAAGTAGGTTTCTTACTGCCGGAGTCTTTCTACACTTTTCAGGTGGTGTGTAAGAAAATATGGAAGAAACAGCATTTTCTAGTACCATCTCTAGTTTTTTCCCCTAATCGTCAGGCAAAAATGTACCTGAAAATTATAGATAATGTGTTTTATATCAGATATTAAGACAGCACATTTTGATGTAAACAATTATGCTATTACTTATTTAATTGAATGGAATTTATAAAATAATTATGCAATTGCATACAATATCATATACATAAAATACCTTATAAGTAGAGTCTCGTATTAGTAATATATGTATATGTTATTACTAAGAATTACATTGTTTTATAAATATACCTAATAAAAGAATTCATTTACCATTCTATGTACAGTGAAAACTACATAAACCAGAATAACATTGTATTGAATAATTTTTCAGTTTGGTAGGTTTCTGTTTTGAACAGATTTTATTGCTTATATTAGAAATTATATATTCTGACATATATATACATTTATAGAATATTAAATGTGTTCTACTATAAAGTGTTTGTTTGTTTAGTTATGGCAATGCAACACTTGGGCGATCTGCCTAGGGGGATGCCTTCCGGGAGGTCTTTTTAAGGAAAATTGGCCCTAATTTAGATGTTACAGACGGTGAGAAAACCCGGAAAACTCCACATGGCCAGCCCGTCTGAGTGAGGCGCGAACTCACAACCAAACTCCCTGTGTTCAGGAAACGAAGATCACTTGGCCACTGGTGGGCTACTGTGAAGTGTATTTATAAAATACTGTAATTCCTGCACAATACACATTATATTTTATTTAGTAGTAGTACTTCATTCTTCAAATAGTTCAGAGTTTGAATGATACTTCTATGTTTGAAGTGTGTGGGCAGTGAAAAAAGTGCACTTACTGCATAAATACCATCTGTTGCACATCTATTTCATCTCTTGCTCTTGCTGTGAAAGAATCTCTTGGTATTACACTCATGGGCTTTCAGTACTTTTTGCATTATTTTTGGTGTGTTTGGTTATATATATATTCCTTGTAAAGTGTGAAGGTAGTACAGACATAGAGAGCAGATCTACAGATGTACATACAGAGCATATCTGGTGGCACATTTATGGATAAGATGCCAAAGTTGATGGTGTAAGACTGGTAAATTCAATTTTCATTTCATTATACAATACTTACACATTTCATTTACCATAAACTGGGGTTACTTTGGTATGGTTTTTGCACTTTTTGCACCTCTCTGATCAAATGACTGTTACGAGCCATTTTGCATTGTGTTAGTTAGGTAAATATGATGTTATTTTCTTGAAATTCACCAATATTTTCACTCTCAGGTCAAGAGTTTAAAAATACTCCCACCTTTTTCTTGTCCTAAAGTTACCCTTTAAGTAGTGGTAACTTTAAGACAAAGTATTTTCTCTTTTTTTTACAGTATAAAAGTAGGATTGTAGAAACATTAGACTGTCACCAATCTTCATTTATCATAGTCCCCTACATTAATCGGGGTCTTACTATATATATATATATATATATATATATATATATCATATTAGTGGTGAAAAAAATTAAGCCAAATTGTACATAATGTTCAGGATAGATAATTTACTGGTTCTTCCACACAATAAATATCCTGGCAACTTATCTTTTTGGGTGGCTTGCACTACATCTACTGTATAGTCCAAGATGTTGTCCTTATTTGGCCATTTCCAGTTACAACCCACTTTTCTCCATAGCCCTTGAGTATCTAACCCTTTTCTGTTTCAATATCAGTCCAGAATAAAGAACACCTTCATAATTTATTAAAACAAACATTCCCTCAGATAAATGTTTTAACTCATGTTGTAATCTATCATCAATTGATTGTAGAAGAGTGAAAAAATGCTTGTTTTAATTTCCTCAAGTACTCAAATCATACTATCATCAGATTCCACATAAGGAACCATTTCCAAGTTCATGTCACTTTAAGTGTCCTCATCTAATGTATCCTTCTTCCTTAAAGCTCACTGGGTGATTTTGCAACAGTCCCAAAGTTGCCCCTTATGTGTTAGATTTTTCAATAAAGTATTTTTTATAACCAAATAATTATTTTTAAATATTATAAAACACTTGATTATAATAGATAATAGTTATTTATTTCAAAATATTTATCTTTGTTTTCAATAGAAACTGTATAGTTTTTTCAACAAATGATAGTTTCTGGAGCATGTGTTGATCAAACAAAACATAACCCAACTAAAAATGGCTGCCTAAAAGGCGGGAAAACAAATAAAGCTTCTGGGCCTTGACATTACGTGGCAGCACAGTAGGCATATTAGAACCAATGACAACAGTTTGTATATCATTGAAATGACATTGGCATTTAATTTAAATTCATTCAAAACAGTGATTGTCCTAAAGTTACCCTACTTGTCACAAAGTAACCCCCAGTTTATGGTATTAATTTACTGTTTAAGGCTTTTAGTTATTATTTTTACCTTAAATTATGTATTTGCTATTTAAGCTTATCTAAATAAATATTGTTTAGGATCTGGGAATGAATTAATTCACTTTTTATCATCTCTAATGGGAAAAATGATTCAGAGTTTGAATAATTTGGAGTTCAAACAGCCTCCTGGAGCAAAGTAAACTTGGAGTATGAGACACCATTGTATATTATTATTTATTATAATAAATAAAATTATAATTTTAGTTTAAATGGTTTATGATAAATACTATATAATTAAAAAATATATAATATATTATTTGTCCATCATTTCAATATGAAAATTCATTTTATACAGGAGGTGCAAAAGTAGGCAAACAATTGAGAATCTAAGAAATACAAATTTTTGGTGTTCATTATTATTATATACTTGTGAGCACTATGCTGGCCTTTCTTTATTGCTAGACTTATTACACCATCGGTGTAATAAATCTAGCAATAAAGAAATATATACTTGTGAGCAAACTTAGTGCAAACTTAGTTTGTATTCCTTATTTGTGATTTAATTTGTATATAAAAATAAATGTCTTTTCTTCCTATTTTCTCCCTGTATTTTTTTTCCATAATAACACCTCTGTACCTACTTTTGCACCCCCTCAGATATTAGTAAAATTGTGTTCTTCACCACTTTTACTATCAATTGCATCATCCTTTTGATGGTAGAAAAGTGCTACAGAGTAACGGTGGCCAGGTAATCCTACTAAATATCAGTACTAACTGATATTATCACCACATACATTTTCATTTTAACACCACTTTTTGTTCACAACAGATACAGCAGTGAACTTGTCTTTTGCTTTTCATAATTTGTATTAAAAGCTGTTTTATTTGGGTTTAATTAATCCATTAAATAAATATGTTTTGTTTACAGGTAATGCCAAAATTTTGCTTTTTCTAATATTTACAACAGTTCATGGTGGTTTCATACATCTTAGTTACTGTTTTCAGTACGTAACACTGAATGCAATTTTTTGCACACCTCTGTATATATTATGTATTAAGAATATTAAACTATATCAATATTCACGTTAATTTATGTATAATGTATATTTATTTTAAAACACTCTTGAACACCATTTTAAAAAAAAGTGTATTTGTTTAATTTTAAGCAATGTGGACTATGTGGACTGTTTTTTGAATTAATTTATTATTAAATACAGAGCTAATTGTTAATACTTCACTTACTTCATACTACCTACCATCATTTGCTTTCCAGTTTTCTCTTTTCACTTTCATTTCCCAAAGTTTATAACATGCAAAATGTTTCAAAAAACTTTTGTCAAAAATCCTTTCTTGCTACGATTTGTACAGCTGAAAGCAGTGCATCCATTTATACTCTAAGACCCTATTTAATTAAGAGAATATCAGTATATAACAATTTGCATAAAATGAGCTTATGATTCATAGAAATAAACAGTAAATCAATAGTTATTTAGTCAAAATATAGTCTATATATTCTTAATATCACTAACCTTTCTTTAATTTTAATTTGTTTATAGATGATGAATGTATAGATGAAACATTTATCCATAAAGCTTTCATTCCAATCTTACGCAAGTGTTGTTTTGGTAAAATAATGGCGACTTAAAATCACTTGATCACAAACTGCAAATAAAAAGTGTTAGTTATATGGCCACTCTCTCAATATAAACTCTGTACAGTGCCGGCCTGAGGCAAGTTTTAGGATGGAGCGAGATCCTATTTACACATTTGATCTTAGCCATGAGGCCGAGAAGCAAGATCCTATTATGGCACCCCCTTGGTTGCCCCTAATTTATACCCTTTAATTTGCTTTACCACTGAGGCACCCCCTAGGACTTAGTGCCTGGAGCGGCTGCTCTGTTCTCCCTACGGTAGGGCAGGCTCTGACTCTGTATGATAGTGATCCTTTTAGTTGGAAGAAAATTTTTAAAAAATTAAGAAAATCTATCATTTATTGTGTATTGTGCATGAAGTCCAGCATACACTCTGTCAAATAAATAACAGTATAAACAAATAAATATAGTCGTGTAGCTGATGGTGAATTGTATAACAGTTTTTCTGTATGTGTGGTCACTGAAATTAATGCAGCAGAACTACCAAAACATAAGTCACTGCCAGATGGAACAATAGATGTTCCACATTACTTTGCGGCAGATGTTGCATTCCCTCTAAAACGTGTCTTGATAAAGCCATACTCTAATGCAAACCTTATAATGAAAAAGAGGATGTGCATTTACTGTTCCAGCAGAGCACAATGGTTATCGACAATATTTTTTTGTATTTTCGCTGCCAAATTTATAATTCTCCCTACAGCAATAGCCTTATGCTCAGATGCTAAATTAATTGTAAAAGATTGCTGTTACACATACACTTTCAGAATATGTGCTTGTAATCTTCTTTTTATTTGATTATTTTCTGTCAGTATAAATTTAACACTATCTTTTATAATTTCACACGCTTCATTATTACAATGTTGTGCTACTGATGATGAGATTAAATTGTTTTTAATGGCATGAAACATGTGTTTTAGCTTCTCTTGGTTGTCTATTTAATATTACATTTTTTTATTTTACTTATTTCTAACCATTTTAGCAATAAGCTCTCTAAGTTATTTCAACCCAAGCATTATTTATTATTAATTAAGCTAGAACAAGATAATTGTTAATGTTATGGACAATTAAAAACACATAAACTATGATTGTTACACTTTAAATATAACAACACCATCAGATCTGAAAGTGTTTAGGGCTATGTGCATCAAATTTCATTTGAATTATATACCTGAATGTCTGTAACTCTCCTTGTAAGCATAGAAAGCCCATTAATTAATGCTAAGTAGCTAATTCTAATCATTTTTGAAGGATTCTGACATAAGACTCCTTGTCTTTTATTTATTCAAACATTTATTGGTTAGATTTTATCTTTTTAAGTCATACAAAACATCCTCGCAGTGAATAATTCTAACCTGACAATAAATAGAAAATAATACTGTTAAGACAACTTTTGATACTTGCAAATTTTGCTATTTTTTTCCCATATTTTTATTTATCTTAGTGATGTTAAAGGTGTATAGTACATATATAACGCTGTGACATACTAGGCTGAGACATGTCCAGGTGACATGAAGGTAGAAAAGCAGTCATCGGGGAGTCAAATCACTTTGACTTCAGGAGACAAACAGTTTCCTTGTGCACTCAGTGTTGTAAAATATATGCAAAGGTGAGAAAAATAAAATCAAGACAGGGAATAGATGAATTGATTATGTCAGTGTAGAAATTTTATAAAGATCTAGCATTCTCGGAAATTTACAGAACCATCTATAAAAGTAAAACCTGACTCTTAATAAGGTATGTTTTAATTTGATGTTCCACTTTACAGAATATTAATAAAGATATGTTCTCTAGTCTATGTTAAATAATAGGTCATGATACCATTATCAAGTAACAGATTTTATTTAACACACAAATGTATAAAAATGTACTAATAATCAATTATTATTCCAATTCAATGGCATGACATTGCCAGTGTACAAACCCAGTTGTATTCATTCATCTACATATTTCATTTGCTTTGTAATTGTAGTTATTGACTTGTACTGGTTTAATAGGATCACCAAAATTACACCTTCCTTTTTGCCACTCCCCAGGAATAAAACATCTAGAAAGCTTGGTCCTCTGTATCAACAAACATTGGAGCTTCCAGATTTATAAGCTAAACACTCTGCTTTCAGAGACCTGTTTTTTGGAAAAAATTTGAGAAGTGGTCTTATTAATTGGACTAGGAGTTGTTTGTGTTTAAGGCTATGTGTTCACCAAGTTTCATTCAAATCAGAGACATGAATGTCTGACCCTCTCCTTGTTAGTAATGTCGAAAATTACATTTATGAGTCAACAAAATGTAAACAATCTTAACCTATTTACAGGTAAATATCCATAATCAACATCCCAATAACTTATAATTCAAAAATGTTAGGATCTCTCTTGCAGCTCATAAGCAGAGATAAAAAAATGTATCTTTTCTTCTGTCTTATTTTCATAAGATAGTTCTGGCCTTTTGGCATTACTTTCCAAATAAGGAATATTCTGTCATTATTACAATCATCTCTTATATATATTATATATGTTTATATATATATATAACATCAATTGTACTAACGTAGGAAAATATATTCAAAATAAATGAAATTTGTCACAAGTTTGTCAATGACACTAAGTGTTGATATTAATAAGTGTCCTGCAAATTTGTTAAAAATAATAATAGGATTTTCCTGTATTACAGTCGACCCCCCATAACACTGTTGATTATTCCGTTTTATATGAATTCCATGTTGTACGAGTCACTTAGATTTTACAAATACGTGAGCCATTCACATCTTGGCACATGTATTTGTAAAATCTAAGTGACTCGTTCAACATGGAATTCATATAAAATGGAATAATCAACAGTGTTATAGGGGGGGTCGCCTGTATATTACATGTGACAAATTATTTTAATTATCAATTCCAGATCTCACAGATCCAACTTTCCTACTGGTGCAATTTTTTCATGTACTCAGTATCAGATGGACAAGCAAACCATAGTCTGTTCCATATGAAACAAACATGCCGTTGGCTTGCCAATGTATTCAAGTTGTATTAAAGTCACTTTACTAGATAATGTGATGGTTCATGTCATATTCAAATCTTTTTCATGTGTTTATTTAAAAAGGTAAGGAGGACCAGAGCATCCGGTTATGCTACTGATCAATGCAGATAACTTCTACCATGCATACGGACTTTGTGGACAATCTGTAATAACAAATAAGTTCAGTCCTTTTCAAATGAAACAGAATATACCATTGGCTTGTTTATCCAGATATAATAAATCCATTTTACAGCTAATGTAACCATTATATTTACATATATACAAATATATCATATTATTCAAATCTTTTTCTGCACTTTTATATTTATTTATTTACAAAGGCAAGGATACCTGGGGATCCTGTTAGAAGTTATCTGTATAATCAGTACTGCAGTTAGAAATTACCTGTATGACCAAGGACCTGAGCCCCAGATGACAATACTGATTATGCAGATAACTTCTAACAAGGGGATGACTTGATGTTCAGGTCACTGATTTTGATCAAACTTGGTGAGGTTATAGTACATCTCAAAGGACTGATATGTAACAAACAGTACGGTGCAATACCCAAAATTAAATGAGAAATCGGGGTTGAAATTGCAAATCACTTAAGAATCTCTGGAATTTATACAGGAGCTGATGGCTTGATGAGAGTGTACTTGCAATAGCGTAATAAAACAAAATCCAACTAGTATATCCAATCCATTTCAAGTATAACAAGTCAAAAGCAATTAACAAATACTCCGTAACAATATTTATTTAATAACAAAACACTGTGTATTTTCATGTATAGTACAAACTTACTCTGGCAAGAAAGTCCTTGTTTATCCTGTGTCTATAATTGCATGTTCACTAAAGAATGAAAAGATGGCTTCAATATCTCATGCTATTAACAATAATATAAAATGTGTTCAGCAAAAGAATCACTGCATGACAATATTACAAAATTTACATATTGTAAAAGCATCCTTCAAACTCAAGAACTAATTGCAGCCAAATGTCCTCCATTAATTTAAGAAGTCGGGAAGGAGGTAGGAAAAAAACATTAAGTGCACGGATATTTTCAAATGTGGTATAGTACAAATAATTCTCCTCCAAATTAGTTGATGATGGAGAAATGTTTTAAAACGTTAATCAAGTTTGTTTTTCCAGTGACATATGTAAATCTTATTGTAAAAATCTGCATTTATTCAATGTGCATACTGCAGAAATGCTTAACGTTTCACATATTTTTACAATTACTATACTTAGAATTGTGCTCTTAAAAAGCATACAGATTGAATAATGTTAATAAAAATGTCTTTTTTTTATATATATAATAAAATTGGCATTGAATAATGATAATTTTAGTTCTTTTTGCTTTTGGTTTGTATGTACTTTGGAATTAAGCACAAAAATGCTATGGAGAACTTATCACACAAGAATGATAATATTCAAGCTCCGAATGAGGGGTTTTTCACCTCTCGAGAATTGTAGACTGCAAAAAATCTAAAGAATCATACCCATACATCTGACCTTTTGCGAGATATTCACCTTCAAACACCAGTTTTTAACAAGTATCAGTATACTTCCTACTCTCCATGCTGTCAAGATTTGCCATCGCTCACCTCGACTGATGCTCCACACATATTCGTTTGCACCTTAGTGCACAGGTGGAGAAAGCCTCCATACCCCTAAATCCATATAACATCAAGTACTCCAGTGGGCTACTAGAATGTGAGAATCGGAATTTAAGTGTCAAAGCTTAAACCATTTTTCCAAGAATGGGAAGGTGAGTCCTGCTCACAGGGTCATTGGATGGCAATTTAGGAGGGCAAAAATCAAGTGGGAGGTTGCAGATAAGTCAACAAGGTGTTGGCTGTGTACAAGTAAACACACATATTTAAGATATTATACAAATTTAACAAAAATACTATTCTAATGGTTACAAATAATAAGAATAATAATAATACTTCTAAACTGAAGTTCTAGAAGGCGGTTAGCGGGATTATGCTGCATATACTTCTGACAAAGTAAAGGCTCTAATCCCTGTTAGTATTTATCCTTAACTAGTCCTAATCCACCTGAGAGGAAGGAGAGATTTCTACTTATGAGTTATAAATTACTTTGCTAATCATTCATCTTTGGCAGTCAGGTGCAGAAAGGAAGTTGACCAGTTGTTCTCTGTCTTGAAGGCTGCCTCGATAACGGGTCGTGAGCCCTCTTTATACCAAATTCGAGGGGGTGAAAACTGTCATACTATTAATGATTTATACGCACACCTGTTAGTGTTTTGATGTCTGGATCTAGCTAGTACAGACCATCGCCAATGTATTCTTTGGTCGGATTGTTGACATTGGTCAACTGAAGGTGAAATTTTATGATATAAATTCCTACGAATTTGACAGTTCTCTCCCATTAATTATTGTATATTTTGACAATATCTTCTCAGATTTGACAAGAATCTCTAGATTGTTTATATTAAATATTGCATTAGTTGATGAGAGAGGCAATTATTATCATGTTGTTTTGGTTATCGTGCAGGTGTCCGCAGACACGTGCCACGTGCAGCCAAAGGAGGGGTGAGAAACGTCACTTATTAGTTTCTTTTAAACATCTGTTCTTGCTTTGTTGATTTTATTGTTGATCGAATTTATCAGTATAGACTGTGATATTTAACCTGAGGAGAGTGTCTTGATCGTTGATTGTAAACTATCCCTTTTTTCTGTAGAATTTCTAGGGTTAGGAGGACGACGATACTGATTTAAACAATACTAAAAAAGGGGAAAGCAGAATATCACAAGAAGCCAGTGAAACATGTTAGTCATAGCAGAGAGACAATACTCGCAACCTTGTGCAAACCAATTTTGGGGCCGTAACTTGCAAAGGGTCGCCGGTAGAGGTACGGTTCCTTTGACTTTTTTCCTCCTATAAGTATTGTCTACAGCTCTGAAAAGGACCCAAACGTCTCATTCGATGCTTGAATTGAGACATATTGCATCTTACTGTCTGGTACACATCAGTCATTGGGGATGCATTTTAACCTCACCCAGTTTCATCAAACTTGGTGACCTCGATGCCATGCCATCCCTTCGTGCATAGAAATTTGTTATAGAATCCGTACAAGCTATAATATAAATGGAAAGAGAAATAATTTACCAATTTAATAGCTATACATATCCCTGAATGCTTTTCTTCAAGTGTAATACATTGTCCTTCTGTTCTACAATTATATCATAGACTCATCCATCCTTTTCACAATTAAAAGCCACAGCACTATCACTTTCCAGTGCTAAAAGAGAATTGAACTGTTTCAGTCACTCGAAACGGCAAGTACGATAATAAAGAGTCTGCAGTTATTCGAACGATTTCCTTTCCTATTAAAGCCAACGCCTGTTGACAATATACAGTCGACCCCCTATAACACTTGATAATTCCGTTTTATATGAATATCATGTTGTACGAGCCACTTAGATTTTACAAATACGTGCGCCGGGCTGTGAATGGCTCACGTATCTGTAAAATCTAAGTAACTCGTACAACATGAAATTCATATAAAACGGAATAATCAACAGTGTTATAGGGGGTCGACTGTAATTCATATAATGTTTTCATCGGCAGCCATCTTGGATCGTCTGCTTTCGCAGTTAGGGTTAGCATCTAACTTATTCTTCGTCTTTTAATAATAAAATAACGACACTTAAATGCTTTTTCGATAAATACAAATCTTTTCTCTTTCTTATTCTGAAGTGGAGTTTATTGTACGATGCTTTAATAACTATAAAAGAATGGAGTTTAAACAGTCCAACGACAGCTTTCACTCAAACCGCCATTTAAGTGGAATAAAGTGTTGCCAGATGATAAAAAAATTTTTCCCAAATTATTTAAAAAAAAATAAAATAATCACTTTACTGTAAACATAATAAAATACTAATTATGTAATTTTAAAATAATAAATTATTAAAATATATCTATTATTAATCATTATTGATTTATGGCTGAATGACTGATAGCACGCGCGCCGTATGATTTCATTCTAACTCTTGACCTTTGGTTTTTTAATTCTTTTCATACTGTAGGCACTAATAGGGCCGTTTTTTTTTTTAGCAAACCCATTACGAATTCGGTTAAGCCCACAATGTAGGGGCTCAGCTTTACCGGGATGGATTATTCGTTTACGGCAACACAAGACGCGTGGCGATCTGCCGAGAGGAATGTCTCCCGGGAGAACTTTCTAAGAAAATTTATCCCCTATTTAGGTGTTACAAACGCTAAGAAAATCGAAAAAACTACACGTCGGCGAGAATAGATAACAGTGGCTTTTATTTACACGGGTACTGACGGGCACTCGCTCCTCTAGAATGAATTATCGCGCAGAATTATTCTGATTGCTGCACGAAATTTTCTTGTTAGCCATTTTTCATAATTCCCTTTAAAAGGCCCACTAGTGACCAAGAGGTCTCCGTACCTTAAACACTGGGAGTTCGGTCGTGTGTTCGCGCCTCGCTCGGACGGGCTGACCACGTGGAGTTTTCCGGGTTTTCTGCACATCTGTAACACCTAAATACGGGCCTGTTTCCCTTAAAAAGACCTCCCGGAAGGCATCCTCCTAGGGCTAGGCAGATCGCCCACGTGTTGCGTTGCGGTAACGAAATAAACCAAGCTAACCAATACAATAACAAAGTACAGTCGACCCCCCATAACACTGTTGATAATTCCATGTTATATGAATTCCATGTTGTACGAGTCACTTAGATTTTACAAATATGTGTGCCGGGTTGTGAACGGCTTACGTATTTGTAAAATCTAAGTGACTCGGACAACATGGAATTCATATAAAACAGAATTATTAACAGTGTTATAGGGGGTCTACCATCTTTACTAAAATTATGATATGAATTCAAATTAATTTAAATTACAAAATTTATAAAGTTAAAAGCAGCATATCACATACCAGATTTTTATAAAACCATTAATTACAGCACTTAACTGTTATTTTATAAATTACAAACAAAAATATTCTGTAGTAATAAAAGTAAGTGTAATTGCTTAAAACACTTGTGTTTTATAGTCTAATGCAGGAGAAAAATCTTTAAAAATATTTATCTAAACTTTTTAATGTTTTTAATTATAATAAACCCAACTTTTATGTGCATTTATAATAATAAATGAATTAAAAATGAAATCGCTAATTGAAATAAAACTTTATAAACTTAGTAAGCACTATTATGACGTATCAAGTCCGTCGTAGAGCATTTTCTCAAGGAAAGCGACTGACTAGTGAGAGACAAGTTCTGACATTTAAAGCATAGACTAACCCCCAAGCCTTTCAGTGGACAAGAGGATAAAACTAGGATTAATCTGTGTAAAAGACGTGGCAAGGCGCGTACCCATGACCTTTAGATAGTGATTTCTCGCCTCGTCACGTGTGTTTTCCCTTGATTTCTTCACATAAATAGGGACCAGTTTTCCCGTAGATAGTTCTCCTGGAAGACATTCCTCCTCAGTAGATCGCCCATGTGTAAACAAATAAAAGACACCAATTCCATAAACTTTCTGCAGTTTTTCGACCTCTCAAATTCGAATCCAAGTTTTCCAGAGAGGTACGCTGAAGCTTTAAAATAAATTGTGTTTAAAATCGTAATTGCTCTTTTATGTATGATAAAGTTGAAGTATTAATAAAGTTGTAAATAACAAATAAAAAGATAATTGTATTCGTTTTATTCAATAGTCACATTGCGCGTGATCGATGCAATTTTAAACAATTAGTAGACTCGCAGAAAAATATAAAACGCCCACGGAGTAAGGGTATCGAACACAGCTTCTGCTGAAATTGTAACCATGTTTAAGTCACTGCTCCTCATTGCTGCTTTATTGCTAACGTGTATGTATGCCAGTTTTTGGTTTCGTAAATCTTTTATATTGAAAATAGTTTTTAGAATGGCCGATTAGCCAAGAAGATAATCTTACCAGTCTGCTGAAATAAGATACCCAGGTTCATATCCAGGTAGGCTCAGAGTAGGTTGATCAGGATAAATTGGGTCCATCATCTGAAAGTTCCATTGTAAACAAAATAGAATACAGAGAATAACCTTGGCATTTTCCGGCTAAAGAGTCAGATTTTTAGGAAAACGTTGCAAGTCGAAATGAAATTATTATTATTATATTAATATTTCTTTAATTCTTTTTACCCTATGAATATCAAGAGGGCCATTTTAGCAAGCACAGTACAGGTTCTACAGGTTGTGCTGGGCCTAACATTTAGGACCGAGTAGTGAGGAACGGATCCTGACATCAATCCTGAAAAATACTAAAATTTTTTCACCTAATCTAAATTCGACCCCAAATCACTCAGAGCAACTGATTGCCACTTTAAATACTCGGCCATTTGTTAATCGATTGCTTCTATTCAGTCTACTAAAGGGCATTCAACTGTCTGCAAACGCGCGGTTTACGAACTTTTAGGCCACTTTTTACTAGTAATTAAGATTTAATAACCTTACTGCAGAATAATATAATTGGTTTATATAATTTTAGTGATCAATGCTCTTGAAGATGGATATCCAGTCAATGAAAATGGATGCACCTATCCCTGTTACCATACAGAGAATAACCAAAAATTATGTCAAAAAAGATGCGGTAGTTTAGGGGCAGTATTCGGATATTGTTATTTCATGATCTGTAAATGTGAACTACTTCCAGAACATGTTCCTCACATAACAAGTGTAGGTATGGGTGGCTGTACAACTGGACGCTGATTGTAATGTAACATTAATTGTAACAGAAATAAATGTATGAAATTTCGAATTCGTTAACTTTTATTTGCTAAATATTTATTACCGTGCAATACAGATTTCGAACTTTCATATATTAAGAACACAACACATGGGCCATCTTGAAGAAGAAGAGGCCGACTTGAAGAGAACCATGGAATAAAATTTCCCGGATTCGGAATTGGCATGGGCCTGAGAACATTCTACAATTTTTTACGCACTTAATTACTTAAATTATTCGCATGTTTTCGATTTTAGTAATTATGTTAACAGTATATTGAGTTGCGGCCGGATGGTCGAGCCGGTCAAGGTGACAGCCTACTGCTCTGGGAACCCTGGTTCGAATCCAAACGGATCGAAAAATGCCCAGGAATTTTTCGGGGTGGTCCGTTCGGATATGTCGGCCCCCGTCCCTCACCACCCGGCAGCCCCCGAACCCATAATGGGCTTGCAAAATGAGGCCCTCTTAGTGCCCACAGGGCGGAAAGAGTTTAAAAAAAAAGTATATTGAGTTTATCTTTTGTGGCATCGTATATTAGCATTCTGCTCATGCAAGACCTTAAATTTTTCTATTAATTTGAAAGCTAGATACGTAAGGAGATTAACTAGCATAGGTAAAGGATAAAGAGCTATCCGTGAAAAAATTAGGGAGCCAAACGAATATACTATATCAACTACAGGTAGATTCGGCCCATAACTCATGCAAAGTTATTTTATGAGGATTGAGAACTGACAAGCAACGAAGTCAACTAACACGAAGAGAAAACCCTGTGTGTATGAAACTCCTGATCTCCCCTGATAAATCAAGAAAAGTAAATAAATATTCAAAAAAGTTAGTCATTTAGAATTAACGCAATGAGAAACATATGGCAATTATCATTAACATGTTGTGACTATTGTTATAGCCATAATAAAAATGGTTTTAATTACTTAAATAATTAAAGTTTTTATTTAACAAATATAAAACAATCATTTATATATCCAGATGCTTTAATGTAAATATCCATATATACGTTTTATTATTTTATATTTTAATTTTTTTATAATTTCTATCAACTTTTCGGTCGGATGTCCCTCCTGAAGACATCCTTTTACTTGTCGCATTGCCATACACAAGGAATCCTAACTCAAATCCGTATTTGCGACAGACTGACTGGCCATCTGGCTGACATTTTATTGTTAATAAAGTACTACGTATGTCAGCTAGAAAAAGCCGAAGTACAAAGAGTAATAGAAAAACCGAATTACGATTATTTACTTTTTATGACTGTCAGCTGAAAAAACATTGTTTCTGATTGGATGTATTGTGTAATTACACATTACGTAAACTCTCTAAGCGTATAAAATGCCACCAGCCATAGAAAAAGAGCAAAATTTTCAAGAAAATGCTCAACACATTGGTATCATTGTTCCTCATTGTTGCAGTATCGCTGCTGACGTGTAAGATTTAATTTCTTTTTTTTATTTGCTTAAAATTATATAGCTTAGTTTTTCTTATGGTAAGATATAAATAAAACCATACCTCAGTTTATCGTCACCATTTGTTTGCCACAGAAACAGGCAGTAAAGTCAGTGTGATGCAAAACTGAAGTAATTAAAACAATACAAATTATATGTAATAACGAAGTCCATTAAAAAGAATACCTGAATTATTTTCACAGTATCTATAATTAATTAATGGGCGAATGAGCTTTGTCGCTCTGGAGCGCTGAGACTAAATTCGAGTGAGCAATTACCCGAGAACTTTACGTGGATTTTCTCTTCCAGATTAGTCAAGCCTATCCCTTATTACGCTGCCGTTCCCATTGCGTGGTTGTCTAAACAGTATTTTAGTGCCCACAGAGGGAGAAAGAGCCAGAGTTAAAATTTTATTTTTTATAACTCCTATTGGTATTTAAAAGAGCCTTTTTCATTCCCGTTATGTATTTCAGCCTAGCACACGATAGAGATAACTGGGTGGTGAGGAAAGAGACCTGAGATATCAAGAACATTTGCCTATAAAAATTTCTATGGTTTTTCGATCACCGGGGTCGATCCCGCATCTCTCAGAACTGTAGGCTTACACCGAAACTGTTCGATCATCCTATCGTCCTAGGCCTTTGATTATAAGATTTACTGTAGGTTGGTGGGATATCACAGTGCAACAATCGGTGGTCTGTTATGGAGTGCCTTCTGGAAAGACATTCCATGGGAACTGGCATCTATTTAGGTGTTAAATATGTGAGAAAATCCCGGAAAATTTCATGTGGCTAACCTGTTGGTCAGGCACAAACCCATGACCAACAAGTGTTATTTGATTTATCTACTAGGCCACAGGTATGCACTAACGTTCATACTAGAATTGAAATCCAGGTATTTCGAAGCAGCGATTTTTTGATTTTAACTATTAATTAAATTATTTCTATTGACTCTTAATTGTATCATTTTAAAATTACTTAAATATTATAACAATTAAATTATAATTAAAAAAATAAATTTTTAATATACCTTACAGATGTAAATGTTGAAGGGGCTGAAGTTCCAGGAGGTTATCCCGTCAACAGATTCAACTGTACTTATCCATGTTACTATGGAGAGGACGAAGAGCAATGTCAACAGTTTTGCACATTGTTAAAGGGGGGGTTTGGATATTGTTATATGTATACTTGCTACTGCGAACGGCTTCCGGAAAGTGTCAAACAGATTAAAAAATTTAAAATTGTAGGCTGCAGTAATGGACAATGGGATATAACTAGTGTAAGCAACTTGTATGGAAGTGGTCGTTAAACACAGGAATTTGGAAATGTAAAACATTAAATAATATTTATCCTTGATTTATTTAGCCATAGAAAAGAATGTGAAATATAATTTTAAATATTAAAATGAATAAAAAATTATCAGTAACTTAACAATGCTCTTGTTATTTGATAAGCGACACTAACACTATGCTGTAGGGGTGGTCAAGTAGACCAATCCGTGAGCTGGCATGCCAATTTTGGTAAGAATGAATAATGTATAAATAGTATCACACAGATTTTTCAATCAATCTTAAAACAGTGTAGACATTCAATTTATTATCTTTAGCATAAGCAAATCGGAAACAACAATACATAGTACAGTTATGCAAAGTTCGAATGGCATGTAACTCATAAACTTTTGAGAAAATAGAATAAGTTTAGTAGTCCGGCAATTTAAATAAGTTTGTTTCTATAGGCAATAGATTATCGAACTTCTACCCTATCTTCAGGAGTACGTAAGCTGATAATTCAGTAAGTGGTACATGTGAATGTTTAAAAAACCGTTCATTTAAATAGTAAACATATATATATATATATATGTTTAATATATTGAATATACAGTAGAGCGTCGATTATCCGAAAGTCAATCACCCGAAAGAATTTCAGTCGGCAAATTTAAATTTTCGCCAGTGCTGTGGCGCTGCAATCTTTGGCTATGTCTCGGGCTACTCAAATATTTTACGTTTTTGATACTAAATTAACTTCTGAAGTATAATTTTTTTATTGTTTTTATATTTTTCAATATATTTATTTTGTTGTACAAAATAAAAAAATAATTTTTAACGATACAATAGTCTTCGTTA